CATATATTCCAGGAGAAAATATTCCAACAAAAATTAATGTCCCTGTAGGACAATCTACTACAGCAAATGAATCTCAAATACGTCAGAAGCGTGGTCAACCAACTGGTTTAAGACTCTGTACCTCGAAAAAAAGTACAAGAGAAAAATCAACACAAATTTCGAAAGAAGTCACATTCGAAAAGATTGATCAATCGAATATTGGAAATATGGTTCCCGAAGAACTACAAATGTCCGAAAATAATGAGATTTCAATCAATTACATGTTATCTCATAAATTATGGAAACGAAATAATGTTGTTATAGACAATATTTTCACCTTTAATGTGGCTCTTGATATTATGCAAAATGAGGATTATGAACCATAGTCGGTTAAAAACTGTCAAAATAGAAATGATTGGCCAAAATTAAAAGAAACCATACAGACGGAATTAAATTCTTTAGGGAAACGAAAAGTGTTTGTACCTGTAGTTCGAGCACCTGAAAATGCAATCCCTATTGGATATAAATAGATTTTTGTATGAAAGAGAAATGAAAATAATGAAATCACAAGATACAAAGCTCGACTGGTAGCTCAAGATTTCTCACAAAGACTAGAAATTGATTATGAGGAAACATATTCTCCCGTAATGGACACCATCACTTTTAGATTCTTAATTAGTTTGACTGTGTCACAAAAGCTTGATATGCGCCTTATGGATGTAGTAACTACATATTTGTCTGGTTCACTTGATAGTGACATATATATGAAAGTCCCTGAAGGACTTAAGGTGCCAAGAGCAAACGATACATGCCCGAGAATCATGTTCTCATTTAAATTGCAAAGATCATTATATGAATTGAAACATTCGGATGCATGTGGTATAATCGCCTTAACGAATATTTGTTGAAGGAGGGTTATAATAATGACGATGTCTGTCTATGTGTTTTCATAAAGAAAACTGATATTGAATTTGTAATTGTGGTAGTTTAAGTTTATGATTTAAATTTAATTGGAACTCGATGAGCTCAACAAAACTGCTGATTATTTGAAAAATGAATTTGAGATGAAGGATTTGGGAAAAATCAAATTTTGTCTTGGATTGCAGATTGAACATTTCGCAGATGGATTATTTGTTCACCAATCTACGTATACAGGAAAAGTTTTAAAACGTTTTTATATGATAATGCACATCCATTTGTATCACTTATGGTTGTTCGATCACTTGATGTGAAAAAATATCATTTTTGTCCACTTGAAGATGGAGAAAAAATTCTTGGTCTTGAAGTACCATATCTTAGTGCAATTGGAGCATTAACTTATCTTACAAATTGCACTCGACCCGACGTAACTTTTTCTGTAAATCTCCTTGCAAGATATAGCTCTACACCAACTCAAAGAAAAGGGAATGATGTTAAACGTATTTTTCGTTATCTAAAGGGTACTATTGATTTGGGATTATTTTATTCTCAAAAGTCGGGATCTGCATTAGTGGGATATGCAGATACAGATTATCTATCTGACCCACATAAAACTAAATCACAAATAGGTTATGTGTTTACACGTGGAGGAACGACTATATAATGGAGATTTGTGAAACAATTCTTGACAACAACATCTTCAAATCATTCTGAAATTATTGCAATCCATGAAGTATGCCGAGAATGTGTATGGTTGAGAAACATGACCCATCATATCCAAGCATCATGCGGATTAACTTCAACAAATTATAGTCCAACAATTTTGTACGAAGACAATGTAACTTGTATTGCACAATTCAGAAGAGGCTATGCCAAATGTGACAGGACGAAGCATATTTTTCCAAAATTCTTTCACACACATGAGTTTCAAAAGAATAGCGATATCGATATCCAACAAATTCGCTCAAGTAACAATGTGAACAATTTATTCATAAAAGCACTGCCTACATCTACATTCAAGAAATTAGTTCAAGAGATTGGAATATGTCGACTCAAAGATCTTCAGTGATCAACATTAGGGAGAGTAGTTGCACTATTTTTCCTTCGCTTAAATTTTTTCATTGAATTTTCCTAGTAAGGTTTTAATGAGGTAAAATTTATTTTTAGTACTCCAAATAACTGTACTCTTTTTCCTTCGTTTTGATTTTTTTTCATTAGATTTTTATCAAACAAGGTTTTAACGAGGCAAATATTTTGTAATATATCATTCAAGGGAGAGTGTTGTAAAAGGAAAGTTTATTAGGGTTTAGAGGTGAATGACAATTACGCTCCTTTCTACACCCACCCCATCCTACCCCATCCCCACCCAAAACAAAACCCACCCACCACTAACAGTCACCGCCAATCATCGGCAACCACCACTCGTTGCCATCCACAGAAAATAAGCCTGTGTTGACGCATTAACCTCCATCACCACGTGTCACAAAACCACCTTTCTTCGCCATTCTCAAGCCCCTTGTAGATGCTCATTTCCACAAGCAATACCAAGACTCACAGATTGGCGCATTGCTTTGCCTAGTTGACGCAATGGAGGTAGCGTAGGAACCCAATACAACGAAGCTGAAAACACTATGGCAGAGGCTACTAAAATTAGTGAAAAGCGACTATTTTAAGGCTAAATCTTCTTTATTGGTACTCACTAGTTGCATTGTGAGCGTTGGTGCTGGTAAAAGCAAGAATTTATTGAGTTGTTTGATTTCCACCGTCGTTGAATTCTTGAGTAGTGAAGATTGGGCCACTCACGACGGAGAGAAATTTATTACCGGAGTTCAAGGCTTCTTGTGTAGCTACATTGAATAGCAAAAGATTTGACAAGGTAAAATAATTTATTCATGAAATTAAAAATTAATCTGGAAAATTCGATGCGCCCAAAAATTTGTCTAAGAGAAGACATTAAAAAGGAGAAAAACCTTGATTATCACTCTTAATTCTTATTCTTTAATGTAACAAGTGAGAGTTGTGAGGGATACAATAAATCGGGTTTTAGAGATTTGGAGAGATGTTCCAGCATGAGGGGTGGGGTAGAAAGGAGGAGATGAACAGTGTTTGGTTTTATATTTTTCTTGTTGTCTAATTTTAATCCAAAGTTACAATTTACCCCTTTTGAAATTGGTCAAAGTCATTTTATTGGATCAACTAACAGTCCAACTAACATAAACCATCCATTTGGACCCTAGATGCTAATTTTTGAAAGGTTTGGGACTATAAGTGGCACAAAGTGTAGATTAAGGTAAAGTCTGCAAAAAGGTGAAAAGTTTGGGATCGCTAGTGCAATTTTCCCTAAAATTATGTGTCATATGGTGGAATGTAAACCAGAATGTTAACCAAGATGTAAGTGTAGTAAAACCGTTGAATCAAATGTGTTAGTGCAATAGATTGGGATGAGAATCTAAATTGTCGTGTATGAGCTAGTGGGTGTAAATGTGTTAGGTTTTGGGTAACAGACTAAGCCGCACTCGAAACCTAATTAGAGAAAGGGAAATATTATTAAACATTATTTTAAGTTGGGTAACTATCGATAAAATTAAGCCCATATTTGGAGTGAATTGTCCAAATGGTCACTGAACTTTGCAAAAGGTTTTCAATGGGTCACTAAAATTTAAAAATCACCTAAATGGTCACTGAACTTTGCAAAAGATTTCTACGGGATCACTGAACTTTAAAAATCACCTAAATAGTCACTGAACTTTGCAAAAGATTTCCCAGAAGTCACTGAATTCAATGACCACTAGAAAACATTTTACAAAATTCAGTGATTTTGTGGAAACCTTTTACAAAGTTCAATGATCATTTAGATGATGTTTAAAGTTTAATGACCCCGTAGAAACATTTTGCAAAGTTCAATAACCATTTAGGTGATTTTTAAAATTTAGTGACCCCTTGAAAACTTTTTACAAAGTTTAGTGACCATTTAGACAATTCACTCCCCATATTTGAGTTCCATTTTTTATTTTTTCTCAAACTTATTTTCAATCACATGTTCTCAATAAAATAATTATAATTCTTAAATCTAAAATTTTTCATACTTTTAATCACACATCTTTCAAAAAAAAAAAAAATCACAATTTGGTTTAAATTTTCCGACCATTACCGTCGTCATCCTTTCCTCGATAAGCATTTTGAACTTGTAGCAAAATTTCAATTCGGCCATTAAGCTTTAATTTAACTCAATTAAATTGCTATCACATTCTGTCACTTAACATACGAGCCGCATATGCGAGCCTGCCATTAATGTTCTCACAATTTCCTCTTTAAGCATTTTGAACTTTCATCCAAGTTTTAATTAGTTTCTTAAACTTTAATTTATCTCAATCAAAACAATATCTCATTCCTTCACCCATTGTTCCCCAAACTAATGAAAATTAGTAAATTAACACTTAACAATGATCGCCACATGGCACTCTAGAAATAAAAATGGAAAAATAAATGTTATGATTTAGATTAAGCCTCCGTTCAAACAAAAGTCTATGAATTTAAGTCAAAGTCAGATATTAATTTCAATTGTACATTCATACCTACTACTTGTTATCGTTCACGGATGTCATAGGATCCACTACTACTCATTTTACTAATTCTATTTATAAATCATTTTTAAATCTATCAAATGAAGGCTCAAGTATTAAAAGACATTTTATATTGACACCTTCATGATGTCACATTCTGGTAAGTTAGCACGTGACACCTCAAGCAAAGATCTACTATACGACCATCAATTAAGTAATTTTCATCAATACAACAAGTTATAGAGTAGTGAAATGTGAAATTAAAATTATATTATTACCTAGTTAAAACTAAATCAAAGTTAAGTGACCCAATTGAGATAAAATAAAGTTTAGTGACGTACTTGAGATTTCAATGGAAAGTTCAATGACCACACATGAAATTTATCCTCCATACATATCTGAGTTTGATCCACAAACAAACCATATAGCCCCTATTCCACCCATCTCCTACTTTAAGATGTGACCAACAAGGCCTTGAGTTTGCTGTCGAGTCTCGAGCATGAGATTATCATACTCTTTGTTCTAATGCACAGTTGTTAGTTATCGTACAAAATCCATTTCCCGAATTACAAAGCGGTGCAAACAAATGAAACAGTAACAATTACTAAGAAGATAATGTCTAGCTGCATGGCAAGTAAGAATTTCGACCTCCAACAAGAAGGCGACATATAGTAGGAATTTAGTAAAAAAAAATTCACTTCTCTAGCCAACTATCTATGAATGAGCTTAGAGGAAGCACCATACTTAACATCCCCTTAACATTGTTATTATTTACAACCATCCCAGCAGGGTGCAGCCATACAAAACCAACAAGGAGAAAAAGTTGGCAATCTTGTGCGCTGCGAATTCATGTGAGGACCATGTAAAGGAAGAAAAACTTAAAAATTAACATCAGAGTCCATTTTCATGACCAGCTCTTGATTTCTGCAGATTCATTAAATATTGATTTACTGAGCTGTTGCTTCACAAACTATTAATCCTGTATCTTCTTGATTCCTTCTAAGCCCTCCACTAGTAGGCCTGTAATTGATATATCGTTTACAATTACTTTCGAACACAAAGGAAGTTGAATTAACTGTAATAGCAGTTGATAATGCATTCACAAGGCATTTAACCAGCAGATGTCCAGAAGTAATATAAAATAGGGAACAATTTTAATTCTTCCACTTTTTGTTATATATGCAATAGATACCCTTGATTAGGCAGTCCTAGTAGCAATAACAGATCATGGAAAGAGAATGACCCAGGTCTAAGAATGAAGGTGTTTGTGAAAGGCAGGTATTTACTGGGAACAAAGCCTAGTTTTTGTTCAATCATCAATTTGCTAGTTAAAAATACTCCAAGACAAATTGGGAATGGCTTTCATCATCTTCCTTAGAATTTCATTTTCTTATTGTCAATCTTGTTCCTGGGCATCTAATAATATATTTCATATAGTGAATGGTAAACTCACCATGGTTTCGTGTTCTTTTGTTTATTTTCACTTGGTTTCCAAGTTCTCTTATACAACAAGAAGAGCCTTTCAAAATGTTGAGAATCATTACACAACGATATCAATTTTATGGTAGACACCGAAAGATCACAAGTAAAGAGAAAATATTTTGCGAAATATCATCTCTTGACAACAAAAGTAGTGATTTATACATTTTACACCCATGGACGAAGAATCTTGATATGATGGGGAAATAGATTAATATTGTCTAGGGATCCAACAAATCTTAGGGTAAAGGAAATCACTAGGACAAAGTTTTGAGTTGCACTAATTTCAAAAGAAAAGTAGCTAAACATGACCAAAATAATATGTTATTGTGACCTTTAGCACATCAAAAACTAAGGTAAATAAGATGCATATATAAGGCATCGATACATAAAAAGGCGAGGCACTTACAGTCCAGTCGAAACTTTGATAGTGTCGTAGAAAAACCACTGCAGAGTAACAACAGGCCCCACAATTGCAATTCGAACAGGAAGACTTCTAGTAAACAAATTAACAAGTCCAATTTTCTTTACAGCCTGAAAATCTTGAAGTCAGAAATAATACAGCTACTAAATTGAACTAGGATGTCTCTAAAGGTTTGAAGGATTTCACTAGCAATACCTGCCTTACAGTGTCAGCCCTTCTGTTGTAAAGAGATGCAACAATATTGTCAGCAGGATTAGAGATTACAGTACCAACAGCTCCAGCTGCATAGCCAGCTAGACATGTCACAGCAAGTTGTTCAGATTTTGAGCAATCTTCCTTCCTTCTTTGTATTACGTTGCGATACATAAGATCCACAGAATGCTCAAATGTTGAAAACATGATCATAGAGACTGCCAAAAGAGTTTAAGGAAGTCACATAAATTTTAAATACAGAGTGGGCAAGATAAGACAGTAGCCAAGCTCGCATATGGCGCCACCAACTCATATCATTATTGAGATTTCCAAGGTATGCAGAAAATAGCAGAAAGCTATAAATTTATCCTGTCTTTGACATTCTTTGAAAGTACTAAGTCGCATTCCATGGAGGAATCACTAACGTAAATACAGAGTACCCGAGGTTTTAATTTTCAGCTATGATGTACGGATACTCCTACTAGTGCTGCGTATCCCTGTGCAACATCTGTCTTATCATGTTCGTCGCCTACACTCCTCGGATGCTCCATGACCTTTACTATATGGATTTCCTTCCCGACAGTGTAATATCTAGTTTAACATAAAGTCTGTTTAATAGAACAAATAGCTTCTCGACCAATTTAAAAGATTTCATGAAAAAAAATTTGAAAACCTAAGAAAATAATTAAATTTATTAAAAGATAAAAAGTATAAACATCTCTCTGTTTAGGAAAAATCACATGTGGGCATGTCCATGTCCTCGTTGTTTTCGGTACGCATGCCTGTCCGTGCAACATAGGTTTTTAGGTATTTATGAGAACACAAATTGATAGATCAAATATCTAACAACTTCAAGAAAAATAAACGGCTCATTTTGAGCAGCAGAGCAATTACACTATCGTACAAAAGCAGTGCATAAAGTTATAATCTAAGAACTTCCATGAAATTGAAGTGTGCTCAAATAAAAAAAATTGGTATGTCCTGAACATGCCACCATTTTTAGCAACTGGCAACCACTGTACCAAATAAAAGAATAAGAAGCCTAAACTGAATATTTTTCTTCAAGAAACTATAACTTGATATTGTGACCGGCAAAATTAAAATGCTTGCATTTCAATAACCTAAATGAGTGTTGAATTGAGCACATGTTGACAACGTAAGTAACTGGAAAAAAAAGTTCAAAGAAGGAGAATGGTTTACATGGAAGATTACGGCCCCAAAGGGGAAAGAGACCCTTGTAAAACCTGCAATCAAATTAAATTCAAGCAGATCAGCGCGATTAAATGTGAACAGTCTAGTAAAATATTTACTTTAAAACATATACACTGCACTTGAACATACCCAGAATGGCCCTCATTAGCATATAGTTTTGGAAATCCATCAGCCAAACCTTTAGCAAAACTAGGGTCAGTTTGAACTCTAACTTTGACAGCTTCAAATGGACAAAGAGCAACATCAGCAAATATCTGAGCGGATGCACTGCTCAGGAAGAATATGACACCCTTGTTCTGATCTACCAATGCATCCCCATAAAGTTTCTTGAAGTATTCATAGAGACCAAATTTGCATCCACCTTGGACACCGTAACCAAATAATTTTCCGGACCAACCTCTCCAAAGAGCAGAAGGGCCTCCTTCTCTCCAAAGAGTACTAAACCCTGATAAGATGCCGCTATATTTGATAGGATTCACCTAAAATTTACATGGTATGCCAGTTAATAGTTAGAAATAATGCAATCAAAGAACTCAGGACTATTGACATATATTTCCCTTATCTTTCTTTACAGGGGTAGCAAAGAGTATCTGATTTGCAGTTAATGAAAATGGAAAAAATCATTTCTGATTAGAAAGCAATGATGAAACACAACATTCAAAGAACACAAATAAAACATTAATTTCAAATATCCCATTCTGATTTCCTCTGTGATCGGTCGCAATTTTAGTTCAAAAATTGATGTATCTTTTCATTTTGTATGTGTGATAACAGTCGCAGAAGGCTAAACATTTCCAGAATAAAAGTAAATAAGAAGACAAGATGAATCCAATAACCCAATAAAATTAGAAAAAAGAGGGGCAAATCTTTCTAGCTTGCTCAGAAACAAGAATGTAATGATTTTGTTATCCCTGAAAATTAACTTATTTTGACTTTTTAAATCATGTTTGGTCCTCCAGGAATTAGAAGCAGGGTCCAAAGGAAACATATGAACACTGGTTGTGCTAGGACACGTGTAGAAAACAATGTTTAAATGGATACATTTAGATTCTCTCTTAAACCTTAAGCTTTATTAGAGCCCAAAGAAGACGTAGTTTCAAGTATTGACACCACCCATTTATGAAAATTGCACACATATTAGAGCTTTGATCGACAAATGAATCCGGTTTGCACGTGAAGGAGCAATGTAGCCCCTTTCCAACAATTTAAACTTTTAAGTGAGATGATTTACAATGTCGTAGTTAACATTTACAACAAATTCTGTTTAATGTTTTTTCCTTAATTTATTAATTAATGCAATATTTTTGTTCATTAAACATAATTTTTAATTTAACAATTTTAGCAATAATATAATTTGTAAATAAATTGATTATTGAGAAATAAATAATAAGGAACTCAAGGAAATACTATTCATTTGGTGTGACCATTGGAAAGGTTACACCAAATAGGTGTGAAAATTGCACCAATTTGGTGTAAAAAATTACACCACGTTTGATATAACCATTGGAGATTTCCCACAAATTGTTTATACAAATTTCGAACAGAGAACACGTAAAAACCAATCTTTATAGTTGCTAGTGACATATGAAGAATAATGTAAAAGGAAAACATTTTATTCCATTATAAAAAAAAAAAAATCTGCTCTGCAAAGATTATGAAAAGTACTCATGATATTGTTTTCCTTGAACTTTCATAATTCTTTTCAATCCTCAACTTTATGCAAGGTTAGTTTTAAAAACACACGCAAGCAAATAACCGGAAATTCTTTCTTTCCATGTGTTTTCTTTATTTTCTTGTGTATTTAACTTGAAAATTCTTGAGGTATTTTTCAGAATCAATTTACAGGCACTTACAGCCTATATTTGGCAGATTGTTTCTAGGTGTTTATAAACGCCTTGATAAAAAAATTGGTCAAATCACTTTTTATTCAGACATTTTGTATGATTCACAATTACTACCTACTTCTCCACCACTCATTTACCCCCTTTTACAAACATTTTTCCAAGCATGTCATAGGCTCAATAGATATGGTTTTGTGGACTCAATGTTAGACTAGATTAATCCTTGGTTTAACACAAATTGAATCTAGAGGTGTAGTTTCCTGATTTTCAGTTTTCAGCCATCATCCTCAATCCTCGAGGATAGCTAGTAGTAGTCGTAGCAATTGCTGAAAAGGGGAAGCCCAGCGCAGTAGTCACAACAGGTTGTCGTCAAGATAAAAAATTAAGAGTTATTTTTCTTTTGATTTAAATTTGTCTTTAACTTAGACAAGATCTCTGATATTTTGCAACCACGAATACTTGAATAATCTTTGAATTCTTGAGGGACGAGGACGTCAGAGGGTTGTGATTTTTTCCATTTTTGCTTCGATTGAAATAAAAGTTTACCATTTTCATTCAAAAAACAGTCTAAATAGCGATTTCAGTAACATGCAGTTCTGCAGTGGAATTTCAGTTAGAAAACGTATAAATAAAAGTTAAATTGATTCCAAAAAACCCAGTTCCAAAGCTGTATACAACCAGCATAGCATAACACACAGTGGACTCTGAGAGTAGCATACAGATTTTCGAAAAAAAAAAAAAAAAAGAAGGCCCAGAAAAATATACCTGCATATTAACCTTCAAGACATCGAGAGGAGTGATGGCAAGATGGGTAGTCCCAGCACTGAGCATTCCTCCCGCCGTACAAAGCCCATAATACCCCGCTGTAAACTCCTCCACCTTTTTCGTTTTCATTTTCGCCAGCCGGCCCTTTAGGCAAAAACGACTTGTGCTTTGAATTCCATATTCAATTCCCATTTCTAGAAATCGCCGTCGCAGCCATTGTTGAACCCTGAAATATTTGAAAGAATCGAATACTTTGAGCCCGTCCAGAAATGGAATACTTGAGCATAAATTCTTTGAAAATTGCATATTAAAATGCTGGAAGCCCAACTATCGCGGAACCTATTCCTGCTAGTAAAAACGTCCACGTTTCACAATGGCCCACAACCACTTCTATACCTTTCAACTCCCGTGAAAAGTTGAAAACCCATTTTTTCCTGTGAGGAAATTGCACCATGACACTTTTTGGATTGTCATTTAAAAATGTCACATTTTAATAATTTTTGTAAAAATATTACTTTTGAACTTTTTTTATCCCCTAAAAAATTTAAATATCTTACATATCTTTAGTTAAATGTGATTTGAATAAATAAAAAAGTTGCACAGAAAGTTAAAAAAAAAGGAGTAATTAAAACAAAACGTTCTTACCTTATAATGTTATTGTGTAAAATATTCCCACATTTCTTTTTTGTCATTTTATCCTTATCTCCATCTTTTATTGCAAAAATCATCATTTTTATTAAATTTCTTGTGTAAAATGACAAATATACCCTTTATTTAAATAAAATAATATCAAAGTTAAACAATAAATTGCAATCATACTTCCATACTTTATTAAAAAAAATGCAAATGAGTTCAATTAAATTATTAAAGGGTAATTAGCACAAAACGTCTCTACATTTCATTATTATTGTGCAAAATGTCCCTACATTTTATTTTTTGACATTTTCACCATTATTTTATATTTCATGGCGAAAATCATTATTTTCATCCGCTTTTTTCTCAATTAAAAGTTGTAAAATGACAAATATACATCCCTCTTTCAATAAAAAAAAATAAAAATAAAGAAGAATAAAGAACAAATTTTAATTCTATTTCCCAAATTTTAAAAAAGGTACAAATAAATAATTAAAAAGGAAAGAGATTTTTTAACAAATTATGTTTTCCTTATGTAGATATGGGATTGGCTGCAATTTCGGTTTGCTAATTTGGTAAGTTTGAAATGAATGAAATTAAACGTTGGGTATGAAAATGGATGAGCAAAAGACATGATGCTACTGGAATTGTAATAAGATCAAGTACATCATATGCATAAAATGTACCATGAATTGTAGAACATGCTTAGTGTCGATCCCTCTCCATACGACATGGAATTGAGATTTCTTTTCAGTGAGCATGCATCCATTTCAATTCCGCCTATAATGGTTATTTTTTAAGTTGAAATGAAGGTTTTAATTGAATTGAACTATAATTACACGATTCCTATTTGCGTAACTTTAGCGGAGAAGAATAGCCACGAGAGTGAACATGAAGATTCCGATGGAGGGGATCATAATGTGAATGATTTTGAGAACATGGTGAAGATAGTTCGTGACGATGATGTAACTATTCCTAAATAATTGTTCCTCATCATGACCTCACTATTATGCATAGAATTCCATCGACAGTTAGAAACAACAAAAATGAATTTATAAATAAGGATTTGATTGCATTATCTCGTCGAAAACATGAGTTGAGAGAGCTCACAAAGTACAACGAGTCTACGTTTCTCTAATTATTCGTGTGTAGTTCTCGATGATGAATATTTGTATGTCGAGCAATTGTCGGAACAAAGAAAGATTTGCAGCTTGCTATTTACCGAATTGCTTTAAAACATAACTTTAAGTTTAAAGTGAAAAATCAAACAAATCGACATACACAATTATCTGCGTTGAAAACTGTTGTCATTGGCTCTTGCGAGCAACGAAATGGACACAAATGAGTTTTTTTTTTTAATTCGTAAGTATGTACGGAAATATACCTGCAAAGTTGGTATTAGTTGAAATGATCATAGTAGGCCAGATCATGGTTCATTGGTCAACAAATAATGTACAAGTTTCTGGACCCACGAATTATCTATAGACTTTGTACATCATTAATAACATTCGTCGAGAGTATGAGATGGTCATGAGCTATCAAAGGTCAAGGAATGCGCATTGAGGACTTAATGGGTTTGGTCGAGGATAATTCTGCTAAATTGGCCAGGTATTGCTATAACATGGTAAGAACTAATCCTAGATTGACATTTTTTTGTTGAAATGGATGATGAGAATCGCTTCAAGTATTTTTTTCGTGACCCTTGGATAATGTACTCGAGGATTTCGGAATGGGATGCTCCTAATTCTAGTCAACGGTACAACCCTTAAAACTAGATACGAAGACAAGTTGATTATTGCAACATGTCAGTATGCTAATATTCAAAATTTTCATCTTGGATTCATATAGCCAACAGAGAGAATGATCTAGCGATGCGTTGGTTCTTCATGAAGTTAAAGGAAGTAATTGAATATGTCAGAACCTTGCATTCGTAACTGATCGGGGCAATCAATAATAAATGGTATCGTTGAAATCTTTCCCGAGGCACATCATGGTTTTATATGTATCATATATAGGGCAACATGAAGACTAAGTATCGGGACAGTGGCGTCGTTGGATTGTTTAGGAGAGCTGCAAAGGCTTACAGTTTTAAAGAGTTTGATAAGTTCATGGTCGAAATAGAAAATAAATCACATGTTGCATGGGAGTATCTAACAGATATGGGTATCGAACATTGAGCATGATCACATTTTTCAAGACGTCGATACAACATGATGTCGTCGAACATTGTGGAGTCGCTCAATATATTATTCAAGAAGAATCAAGAGTTATCAACTCTCGCAGCAATGATCGAGCACAATCGTAATAAGTTACAGTAGTGGTTTCACAATCGGTGTAAGGAATCACTGAGCTGCACAAGTGTACTAATCCTGGCTCGGAAAGATAAATTATTCAAGACTCTGAAGGTAGCAAGAAATGTATGTGTGGAACCATTGGACCAGTTTCATTTCTCCGTGAGATGTGAACGTAATATCGAAAACATCGTGGACTTGAATGATAACAAGTGTACGTGTAGAAAGTTTTAATTGGAGAGTTTTCCATGTACGCATACAGTGGTAGTGGCTATGCATAGAGGGTTTTTGACACATACCTTATACAGTTATTATTACATGACCGATTATTGAAGAGCGTCGTATGTTAAAACAATATTTCTTTGTACCAAATGAAGTTGAATGGGAAGTTCCTAACCACATTCTTCCACTTAATAATGTGTTACCACCCAAAATCGAATTACGTACTCTTGGACGTAGACGTATGTTTAGAATACCATCTACTGGAGAATTTTCCCAACCTCGTAAGTACGGCAGGTGGGTCTCCATAGGTAATACTTGTCGATTTTGTACAAGTTAGATTCCATTACATAACAATTCAACGGATGTGTAATAAAATTTAATTTTTATTTGCTATTTTCACATTCTGTTTGTTATGTAATATTTACAATTTTGTAAAAGTCATTGCCTTGGACGTTTTATTTTAAATTTAAATTGATGGTTTGAATCTTAATATTTTGAGATTTTGATTTACTTTCACATTAATTGTTAGTTTAGTATTATATATACGATTATTATATTACAACATGAGTCATGATGAAGTAAACAACATTTACATTTTTAATAAAATAATAAACAATGTACTAAGTATCACATTTATATTCATACAAGTCATAAGCTAACTTAAGCCTCCACATATCTATTCAACACTGGTTTATTGTATTAGTATTGCAACCCATACTCAAAAGATTTATGTACTTTATTACGAATATGACACAATCGCGCCTGCAAGTAAAGAATAATATATTAGTTCGATAACATATAGCTGAAAACTAAGTCTTGAGATTAAAAAGTTGTAAATCCTTACGATAATTCCTATCTCGCCGATGTCATGTTCCACACCATGGCTAATATGTCATTTACTCGAATCATCGCATGTCTAGCCATTATGGGAATGATCACAACTACTGACTCCAGTATTTGCTCCAATTGATTTTGTGCTAGACAGCTATGATCGGAGTCGTACACATAGATAGTTGAATTAGTAAATATGATCTCCACTAAAGAACAGTGTGAGTTCGCGATCACTGGAACGTACATATGTGTACAATCCGTCCACAACTTTTTGCATGTCAGCTCCAGCTCAATCACACACTTTAGCATGTACTCAAGCACCATATATCCATTCCCCAAGAGTAAGAGCGTGCTGTGTTCAATATCAATGACACGTGCAAACTCGAAGCTTAGGATAACTCCACCAAGAATGTCAAAATATCTCAGGTGTCTTTGCTCGATCGTATAACAATTCCATGGCCAAATCGATATGTTAAAACAAAAACACCAACAAAAAAGAGAGGATCAATTAATTAAATAAACCAACAACTTCTATAAATATAATAAATAAAAACGACAATACACTTACACATAAAAACGACGCTTTTTATTTAAACATTGTATTAATTATTTTAATTATTTATGTATATTATCTATTTAATATTTAATTTAATTAATTTAATTTTTATTTAAACATTTCATTAATTATTTTAATTGTTTATGTATATTATTTATTTAATATCTAATTATTTTAATTGCTTAATTTAATTATTTTATTAATATTTAATTTAATTGTTTATTTTAATATTTTAATTGCAATTTTTAATTGCATAATTTAATTATTTTATTAATATTTAATTTAATTGTTTATTTTAACATTTAAATATTTATTTATATAATATTTAAATATTTATTTTAATTACTTATTTTAATTGTTTAATTTAATTATTTTATTAATATTTAAATTAATTGTTTATTTTAATATTTAAATAATTATTTTAATTGTTTATGTATATTATTTGCTTAGTATTTAATTAATTTATTTAAACATTTTATTAATTGCTTTAATTATTTATTTATATTATTTTATATTTAATTATTTATTTTAGTTATTTAATTGTTTATATAATATTGAATTGTTCTTAAAATTGCTTAAAATTAAATAAGTACTTCAACTAAATAATTAAATATTAAATATTTAAATAAGTAATTAAAATAAATAATAAAACGATTAAATTAAGCATTTAAAATAAATAATTTAAATATATAATTGAAATAAATAAATAATAAATAAAATAAATAACTTAAATAAGAAAATGAAATAACTGTTAAGCCGCCGTTTGATTCCTATTCTTTTGCCACG